TCTACATTTAAAAAAATCACTTTCAGGGTGCCCGGGTGGCTCAGTCATTAAGCGTCCGCCTTTGGCTCAGGTCATGATCTCAGAGTACTGGGATCGAGCCCTGCATTGGGCTCCCTGCTAGGCAGAGAGTCTGCTTCTCCCTCTCTCACTCCCCCTGCTGTGTTCTCTCTCTCTGTCAAATAAATAAACAAAATCTTAAAACAAACATACAAACAAAAAACTTAGAAAAAAGTCACTTTCCAGGCTAAGTATGTATCTTGCCCTTCTGGGCTGCCTCCAGCTGTATTTATAACACACTGCTTCTCCCACAGCAGTGATCAACTACTACTTATTGCTATAGTGAAACAGACTGGAGTCTCAAGTCTCTACAGGTGTGGCCTTCAGATAGGTTTTATTTTTCCTGTTTATGAATTCTATGAACTGCCAATGTTGAAAGTCTAGATTACAGACTTTTCTTGGGAAAAAAAAATTCCAAGACTTGGCAACACCAGATCCAAAATTCCACATGGCAGCAATCAACTGATTGGTCTGACGTGGGGTATCGGGATTCCGGGTGAGCCACAGTCCTCATCACTCCCTGATGCCTCCCCAACCCTGAGGCTTCCTGCAGACCACACTTGCTCATTTACATCTCCTCTCTGACCCCTGAGGCAGGTGGGCTTGAACCATGTCTGGATTGAGGAGAGCTAGAGAGAAAAATACATCACTATCTATAGCCTAAAATATGTAGTTATTTCAAATAGCAAGTTTAAGAACGAAATTCTAGAAGCTGGTGGCTCTGATTAGCACTGACTTCAAGTTCTGAGAGCTTAGCTTCCCTTTCTACGGGGTAAAAGAGTTACAAAATGAGTCAAGTACTGACCTCAAAGTTTTGTAGTGGCTTGCCCACGGGACAATGTGCAGGTGAGTGACAGCACAGTCAGAGGAGAGATCCAGATTGGCATGGCTTCATGAGGGAACAGTGGGACATGGAGGATATGAAATTGTGATCACACATCACGTATGCCCCTGTGTTGAGCTGCACCAGCAGATCAGTTCGGAAATAAATGATTCTTCCCAGTAGAACAAGCTTGGGGAGCAGAGAGCTTCATTCTTTGAAGCTACTTTCAAGGTTTACAAAATTCTTTTTTTGTATTATTATTATTTATTTATTTGACAGAGATAAAGAGATCACAAGAAGGCAGAGAGGCAGGCAGAGAGAGGGGGAAGCAGGCTCCCTGCTGAGCAGAGAGCCCAATGTGGGGCTCGATCCCAGGACCCTGAGACCATGACCTGAGCCAAAGGCAGAAGCTTAACCCACTGAACCACCCAGGTGCCCCTTCTTCAGTATTCTCTAGAAAGAAAAGAAGAGATGGAATGTGTCACTGATGGCTAATCTTTCCTTAAAGCTCAGAGAACTTGGAACAATAATTTCTTCCAAGACAAAGATGACTATCTCCCAGGCAGACCTAATATTTTGAACTGTCTATTAAAAATTAAAACACGTCTTCATTGCAAAGTAAGTATATATAAGTGGGATGTCTAAAACGAGGGTCTACTTTCCCTCTGACTGTGTAAGACAGGAGTCTGCAGAGAAACAGATGCGGTAGGAGGTATGTGTACATACATGGAGAGAGCAGGAGCTCATACTAAGAAACTGGGTCCCATCACAATGGAGGCTGACAAGTCTCCAGACCTTCAGGGTGAGTGGGCTGAAGCTGGCTAGAGACCCAGGAGAGCCGATGGTTCAGTGCAGTCCTAAGGCAGGAAGAAGCCAATGTCCTAGACTCCAAGGCCATCAGGTAAGAGGAAATCCCTCTTATTAGGGATAAGTTTCCATTTTGTTCTACTGGGGCCCTCAACTAACTAGGTGAGACCCACCCACCCACCCTGGGGAAGTTGATCTGTTTTATTCAATCCACTGATTCAAACGTTAATCGCATTCAGAAACACCCTCACAGACACAACCCAGAATAATGCTGAATCGAATGTCTGGACACCTCCACTGACACATAAAGGTCACCATCACAACTCCCACATGGCTGGTGGGTGACAAGACTGGGACAATCAGCTCATGGGGGTGCCAGAAGCTGTGAAGGGCAGATACTCAGGCGGGAGAGAGACACAGCTGACCCCGTGCAGAAGGGATGTCTTCTCAGGCCTCTCCTGTTCCTTCCATGCCAGGGCCATTCTCTGCGGGCTCACTCAACCTCTAGTCTAGGTCACCGCACAGTGCACGAAGAAGGCTGCGTGCCACTCTGCCATCGTCTGAAATGGCTACCATCCTAGTGCAGACACTGTCACAGACTGACACTTGCTAGTGCTGGTGTGGCAAGTGGACCTCCCAGCTTTGGAGGGACTGCTATCCTGTGCGGCCACTTCAGGAAGCTGCTCAGAGGTTTCTCATAAAATCACACATCCAGTTATTTTGGGTATCCATCCAAAATAAATGAGAACTTGGGGCGCCTGGGTGGTTGAGCTGGTTCAGCCTTTGACTCTTGATTTTGGCTCAGGTGGTGATCTCAAGGTTGTGGGATCAAGCCCCAAGTCAGGCTCTGTGCTCAGCGGGGACCCTGTTCCAGATTCTCTCTCCCTCTCCCTCCTGCTCTTATACTCTCTCTGTCAAATAAGTAAATAAAATCTTAAAAAAAAAAATGAAAACTCAAGATTAAACAAAAGCCTGTAAGTGAATGTTTATAGCAGCTTTATTCATGGTCACCAAATACTAGAAAACAACCCAAAGGTCCTTCAGGGTGTAAGTGGACAGACACCAAGCACGCATCTATCACGCAGCAGAATTCCAGCGCAGCAATAACAAGGCACAAAACACGCGTGTATAAATCTCAAAAGTAATAACACTGAGTGGAAGAAGCCAGTCTCAAAAGGCTGAACAGCATATCATTCTATTTATAGGACATTTTTGCGAAGACAGAACAGCTTAGCGGTTGCGAGGAGATGGGGGGGCGGAAGGTGTGTGTGACTATAAAGGAATGAGACAAGGGAACCGGGGTGGGGGGGGACTATTCTGAATCCTGATTTAAACGTGTGTTGACGTCCTAAGACTTGCACACCCCTCCTCCCGCATCAGATTAACTATATGATCTTCTTAAAAATTGGAAAAATTCAGTGGTTAAAAAAAGTAATTGTATGTCACCCAATTGATGCACAGGATAGAGGGACCCAGGGGGAAATGTCTAGGGTATGGGGTCAGGCATCAGCAGCTGAGACCAGAATGTGCCCGGGCAAAGGGGAGCCAGAAGGGCAGGAAGGCATAGACATCTCCATACGGCTCGGGGTACAAAGAGGATAAGCGATATTCCTGAGTCACTGGGCACAACCTAATAATTCTCTGAAAAGGCAAAACAGCTGTGATCTGTAACATTTCTTCCCCAAGATTTTTGTATTCATGGCCTCTGACAACAGCCTTAAGAGAGGAAATGCAGGCTTACAGATGGTAAAGGACTGGCCTGGATTTTGATCTCGGTTCTATCTGGTTCAGGAGTTGCCACAGAAAGCAAAGATTACACCGTGAACGTCTCTTTCCGCAGCTGTAACCAGGCAAGCCCCTTAATCCCCTGTGCTCTTAAAGCCCGGCTCTTCCTTTAAAGCAGGGGTTCTCCATGGGGAGAAGGGGGGTGTTTTGCCCCCAGAGGACACGTGGCCTTGTCTAGAGACAGTTTTAGTTGTCACAGTCCGTGGGAAGGGTGCTACCAGCATCTAGTGGGTAGAAGCCAGAGATGCTGCTAAACATTGTACAAGGCCTGGGATGGCCCCTGAACAAAGACATACCCAGCCCCCAGTGTCTCTGCAGCAGAGGTGGAGAACCTGCTGGCTTAAAAGCGAGGAAGAAAACATGTCCGTGAATCCCACACTGTGCTAGGGATCGTCCAATTCTCAACTCACTTATTTCCTCAAGACCCTGTGGGGGTAGCTACTAGTAACCCCAATTTATAACTGAGCAAGCTGCTGCTCAGACCCATAAAAACCAGTACCCACACCCCAGTGACAGACAGGAAGCTGCAGGAACCCCCAGGTCCCTGTGAGGGCAAAGCCCAGGGTGCCCAGAGTGTAGGGACCCCAGGGCTAGGCTGGGTCCTCTACAAACCCCTCCTTCACTTCCTTACATCCCATCTGGCCTCACCTCCTAACTGTAAGAGATCTGCAAACATGGGGAGCTGTTTGGCTGGCAGAGGTGTAGGTCTGAATTCCGGGGCCCCAGGAAACAAATTTCAGAGCCACCCAGGACTGGCGTGTCACCCTGGCTTCCTGGGCTCCTTCCATGATTCCTGCCCTCAAGGCCTGGATGCCTCCCCTCCCTCCCAAAAACCCAGAGGCATTCCCGGCCAGGTGCTCCTGGGGGACATCCTCTCCTCCCTCTCTCTTCAAGATGGGTGGGGCACTGAGGCAGGGGCCTGGGGACAGAGAGACACATCACTGAAAAAGGCACGACAGTCCGTCACCCACAACCACATCCGACAGGCAGGGCCTGCCCGAGAAAATAAGCGAAAAGCTTTGAAAACAAGTCCTATAGTCACCTCTGAGGGATGCTGGTTCAATTTTACCCCCTCCTGTAACTTGTGTTGACAGTCCCAACAGCTGGGAGTGGAGGTGGGGGGTTACCTGGAGCGGGGAGGAAGAGAAGTAGAAACCCCGAAGGAAGGCAGAGGAACAGTGCAAGTAGAAAAGGAACATGAGCTTAAAGTTGACCAGACAGCTCAGGAGTCAGATGATGTCATGACAAAGGAAGAGGAGCCCCAGGATTTGGGGACCTTCTTACAAGTCGGGTGGGACTGCATTAATGGAACCACTCCTTAGCATCATTCTAGATAACCACAGACGGGTCTCGGTGCAGGCGGTACAGGATTGTTCTCGAATTTGGCAAAGCAGAGTACATTCCTGACAAGGCTCGGGGCGGGACCCCGAGGTGTCCCACTGCAGGGCAGCCGTGGGCGGACCTCAACCACCCTGACCCCCACCCTGGGCCTCCCAGGCCCCGCCATAGCCACGCAGACCCTACTCACAGCTCTAAGATCAGGATGACGTCTGTCTTGTTCTCGTAAACCTCATGTAGGGTGATGATGTTGGGGTGCTGGATCTCCTTCAGGATGCTGACCTCCCGCTCGATGTCCTCGCGGCTCACGCCCCGCCGGCTGGACTTCGTCCTCCTTTTCTTGATAAACTTGGCGGCATACTGTACACCGGTGCTTTTCTCCCGGCATTTCTTCACGACTGCGAACTGCCCACTGTAGACAGAGGATGAGCGGTTGGTTACAGGTCAGTCACACATTTCTTTATTGCTCCCTACAAAGCCCGGATTTGAGCACGGATGGGGCAGGGCACGAGCAAGGAGGGGCCGTGTAATGGTGAGTAAGAAAGTCCATGGGGTGGGAAATTAACAGATTAAGCAGGGTTACTTCTCATAACATTTCCGTTTCATTAAACCTGCTTCTTTAAGAACAATGTTGCAAGTGATACAAAGTCTCTTGTCTTGAAGAATATTCTATGGAATGGAGAAAGATGCCTCCACTTCTGTGATTCCTTCCTCCCTCTCCTTGCAGACTCTGCGATAGCAGCAAGGAGCTTCCCAACCTCCCAACCTCCCTCTGACAAGCCTTTCTCCCATTTGTCCAGGGAAGACAAGGGATCAAGATGGGCGAACTTAAAGAAAAATACACAGAGCTCTGCTTTCGACGACCTATTTCTAGCCCCGATACTTATCAATTAAAACATTCAGAATTAAAAAAAAAAAAAAAAAGCTATATATATTGTGTTCACACCTCAGGGATTAGATCAGCCACATACACCAGACATCTGTTGGTGGCAGCTTCTCCAGCATTACCTGCCTCTCTCCTTTCTAGGGATCCTATAGCCCTGAGGAAGCTGACTCCACCCCCACCTAGAGATATGAATCGGGTGACCTAGGCTAAGCCAGTCAGTATACTGTATCTTCCTGGCTCCAGGGACAGACATATGACCAAAGTAAGACCTTTGGGAGAATGCAGAGACCAAGACCTTTTCTGAGACTCTTCTTTCTTCTGGATGTGAACACTTAACTCCATGACCCCAGTCGCTGCTTCCAGCCATCCCGGGATGAGGGGGAGGTTTACTCTTGGTTTAAAGCCAACCATTCCAGAGGCGGAGCCAATAGAAGAAGAGAAACCAGATTTGGGGTAACACTGTGAAATGGCTGGATCAACCCTAGCCTGAAATCCATCTGCCTTTGGGTTTTTCAGCAACAGAAGCCAATAATGTCCCTTTACTGCTAAAGCCAGTTGGATATGGGCTTTCAGTTTCTTGCAGAGGAAAACATCCTATACATCCTAAGCCATGGCATATAACCAGAGCCTCCTACCTATGTATATAAAAGAATATAATAACAGAATTTAACACAAAATAATAAAATAAATACATAAGGAGGGAAAGCCTTGAAAGGCAAGTAAGCTACCCTGAAAGTAAGGGAAACAATACAAAAGGACCCTTCCTGTATCAATGCTGGCACCTCGCTTCTTCCCCAGAGCCACCCATCACAGGATCTGTATATTTCTTGGCAGGTGCTGGAGAACAGCTATATAGAGAATTATCACAGTTATTTTTAACTAGCTTTATTCTCCCATGAAGACAAAAGGGGGAGAGAAAATCAGATGAACAGTACCTGTTCAATGTTAAAGAAGGGATACTTTAGCAGCAGAGGTCAGTGAAGAAAAACCCAGAGTACAGGATTATTTCTTTAGCACTGCCAAATTTTTGCATGACAGGCTATTAAGACTCTCTTTCTCCCTGCAGCAGAATAGCAGAGAGGCTGAAGAAAAATCACACCAGAACGCTAGCACCAACTGCCTGTGAACTCACAACCTTAAAGAGCCAGGGAATCTGTTAGGACTTTATTACATTTTCCATTTTTTTCTGAAGAGCAAAGAACTGGGCTTATTTCTCTCTTGGAGGGTGGAGGTGGGCGGCAGAGATGGGGCTGGTGGGGGAAGAAAACAGCCTGACTATGGAACAAAGTGACCTACTACTTGGCAGTGTCTCGTGAAGCGGTGCTTATATTCCCACTTGTTAGAAAGAAAGCATCAGGTCCCAGCTGAGAGCTCCAAAGGTGTCCAAGGACATGGGGTGGGGCAGTGCACTGGTCCATGCATGCCTGTCACGCAAGCACTGTGACTTTTCTCAGGGGCTGTAAAGATTCAAGGCAGATTCAGTGGTTTGGTGAATTATGTTGCTTTAAACACTAAAACCGAAAAACCAGAAAGAGATGGGAGGAATGTAAATGGAAGCCTAAGTTCAAAGACTATCCAAGTTGTTTTTCCTGCCAAATGTTCCACGTGACCTTTCCCCTTTTAATTATGGGAGTGAAAGCATCAAGGCCCCCCTACCCTAGCGCTGGGCTGGGGGGAGGGGGGCACTGTATACCCTGTGCACCAAGGCCAGGAGTGTGTGCACAGGTCCAAGCTGACGGCACTGCCCACCATCTGCAGCGAAACACCTGGAACCCACTACTTCACTGGTCAATTGACCTCACTCACACTTCCGGGTCCCCCTGAGGGGAAAGCAGGCAGGGAGAAGGGGCTGCAGGTGGGATGGGAGCACCCCAACCCCCCCGGGCCAAGAGAAGATGTGATTCTAATGTCCACGGCTGCAGCTAATGTCCCGACTAACCGTGGTTGCAGATGGTCGAGAAGGTGTAGACTAATTTCGAGGACCATTTTTCTAGACCCTTCTCAATGCTACCTCTTTAAAGACACCTTTCCGAGTTATCTCTGCCTACGCAACGTCTGCACCACCTCCTTGCTCCGACCAGTGCCGTCTCCTGCACCTGAGCCCACAGGGCCCCTCGGAGATTTTTCTGCCTGCTTCTTGCCCATTTCCACTCCTACCAAGACTGCAGCTCCACGGAAGACAGAGGCCTGGCAGGCGGATCTCTCATCCCGAGGCACGGGATGCAGGGCTCCTCTGGGAGCTCATGCATGATGCTCTTGACTCCTGAATCCTTAAAACCAGAGGTGTTACCTGAAGACACTTCCCTGTAGTTCAGTAGCTCTGTGTGGGGCTGCGCACTCAGGCTGCCTGTCTGAGCTGGTGTCCCGCCTCTTGCTAGCTATGTAACTGAGGGTTTACATCCCCCTTGACCACTCTCTGCCTCAGTTTCCTTACCTGCCAAGTGGACAGAGTAATAGTGCTTGCCTGGGAGGGTTTGTGGGGTGGAAAGGAAGGATTAAATGAGCTAATTATATATGGAAAGTGATTAGAATGGTGCCTAGCAGTATTACGTCTTCAATGACTATTCACTGTTATTAATCTCCAGCACCAGGAGCCACTGCCAGGAGCTTAGGGTCTATGGTTCGAAGCTCAAAGTGCCTTCAAAGTATCAGCCTCTCAGAACTGCCAGGGGAAAAAAAGCCCAAAGAAGAAAAAACCACAACAGGGTTGTCGCGTGTTTAAGGGTAAAACTCAAGCCGACCCTGGCCTTAGGCTTCGGTCTTCAAACACAACATCCCTGCCCTCATGCCCTGCCAAGGGAGAGCTGCTGCCCCCAGCAGATGGGGAAACTGAGGCACAACAGCCCAGGGTGGGCAGAGGCCCACGCGAGGCTACAGGGCCTTGGTGTGCACTTGGTAACTTGTGCCGGGATTTTCCCAGCCGTCTCCGCGGGCAGGCAGCGAACCGAAGGCAGACTCCTTGGAGAAGAAATTCCTTTCTAAACACAGTAATTTGCTTTGTGAGGCCTAATTTGAGCTGGACTGGTGGTTAATTGCTGCTCCCATGCTTTCCTTCCTGAGCAGCTGGCCTTGGCCCCCCAGCTCCCTCACACCCACTTTGGGGGGACAGTTCCTCTTCCCTGGTCCCCCTCCCCCAATAATAACAACTGAAAAAAATTTTTTGTTTAGGCTTTTTTGGGCAAGAGCTTCCAAATCATGGGATCCCAGAGAAACAATCTGATACAGCTGCCAGGGTAAGCTCTGGGCAAGGAGGAACGTAAATTCACACAGAGAAGCAAGGCCACCACCGCCACACATGGCAGGAAGGGGACTGCCTGGGCTCCAGCCTCCCTCCTGTAATGGAACCAGAGGCTCCCCACTGATGCACACCCCCATGGACAGCTGCAGCGGTCGTCCACAGATGGGGCAATGCAGCCGTTCCTGGAAAACAGAAACTGACTGGATACCAACATTTGATGTGACAAAACAGAATACAGGGGATCCTCACTTTCTGCAAGAGCTGTATGTGCCAATTCACCTACTTGCTACCTTGTACTTGTGAGTTCAAAGTCATCATTGGCAGTGCTGTCATGGTCAAAGATCTGAGTCACCTGAGTGCCCAGTTGAGGTGGGTCAAGGCTACACTCTGCCTTCTAGGTCAGCTTCGGTATAGTGAACAAATGTCTCTTTTTTTAAAGATTTTATTTACTTGTCAGAGAGAGATCACAAGTAGGCAGAGAGGCAGGCAGAGAGAGGGGGAAGCAGGCTCCCTGCTGAGCAGAGAGCCCAATGCGGGGCTCGATCCCAAGACCCTGAGATCATGATCTGAGCCAGAAGGCAGAAGCTTAACCCACTAAGCCACCCAGGTGCCCCAACAAATGTCCTCTTAAGAGTCTATTTAGTGCCAGGCTTTTTCATTTTTGCTATTTGTTGGTGATTTAAAATCACCCCCAAAATGGGAAGTCCAGGGCTCATAAGATGGAGGCTGTGATGGACTTGTGGAGGACACGTGTCATGGGTGGGTCAGCTTTGTTCAGGCAGGGATGTCAGTGATGTTGGCCGTGAGCCCAGTGTTAAGGAATCAACGATGTGTGTAATGGAAGGCCCTTTAAACAGAAACACACATGAAACAAGGTTATGCCTGCATCAGATGATGGAAATGTTATGAACGGAGGCTCACAGAAACGTGACCCTGTATTTTCTCTAGAACAAATGGTCCGGTATTCGCTAACTCAGTGTCTGCAGTGAAGTCACGGAACATAACTATAGCCCCAATAATGAGAATCGATTATATGTTGCTTTTTAAAAATGTACTCACGTTTTGTGTCACTTAATAACTGACAGAACACTTTGTTGGACTAGGTACAGCTAGCCAAATTCATTTTGACACAGAAACTTTCCATTAAATGTAACAAACACGTATTGACCACCAGTGGCCAGATCCATACAAAGACGATGAGACACATCCCATTTTAAAGAGTTTTGTACTACAAAAACTTGTTGATTTAAAAAGAATCATAAATTTTATCAAAAAAGAAAAGAAAAGA